GACTCTGTCGCCCTTTCGGGCTTGAACTGATGGTAAAACTAACATTATTAACGGTCTTGATATTTACTTTGAAAGCTGATGCTCGCGATTATGGTATGGTAACATTTCCGACGCGTGCTTGTGGTGTTCGGCCAATCACAATGCACTGGGTCAGCTGGCCAATCAGAGCAGACTGCGGTTGTCAAAGGAGGGGCTTTGTTGAAAACGACGTGCTTGAGAGAGGCGGGGCATAGAGGACCTACAATAATGTGTTTTTTGAACATTAAAGCATGTCAACATATTCTGTTACACCAAATACACAAAATAATGATCTTTAAAATAGCATCATATGACCCCTTTAAAAAAAAAAAAAAACTTTGAAATTTTTTTTTTAATAAGAGCACACTTTCATGACTGTTTCTTAACACACTTTAGTACGCTTTTAAAAAGTGTGATTTGTAGTAATGTTAAATTAAAAGTTTTATTTAAAAAAATAAAAAAAATCATTACAAATCTTACTGATCCCAAACTTATAAACAGTAGTATATATAATAGAATGCTATTCTATAATATCTACAAACTACTAATTATTTATCTCAGTATTCAGTAGTCATCTTTTTTTTTTTTTTTTTTGGTGTCATTTTGAATCTTCTTCTTTATTAACTTCTGATAAAAAAAAATTCCTGATGACTCTCAATTTTGTCAGGTTTTTTTCCCTCAAGGCTGCATTGTGTTACATAAGCGCTCTGTCTGTCCTCCTTCAGAATACAAATGGACCTCCCGATCTCATGCTAGACCCCAGAACCGTGTGCGTGTCTATTGATGAAATGATGTCCAGTCACGTCGGCAGTCAGCAGACGCCGCTGTTACACGGACACCTGAAGAAAGTAGAGAACAATCTGACCGAGGCCCAGCGCTTTTCATATCTCCCCCGCAGACCCGCAGTCAACATCGAATTCAAAGATCTCTCGTACTCGGTTCCTGAAGGACCGTGGTGGAGAAAAAAAGGTAACGTGTGACCTTCAAGCCTCAAAGGACTGTAAATGTTATCTGAAGTTAAATCTCATAAAAGTTACAACCATTAAATAATTACTATTCAGGTTTTACTTTAATCCAAATGAGTTCAGAGAGACCCTTGTGAATAAGTGCGCTTAATAGTGCTGAATGTGCGCTTGTAGTGTAATAAAAATGTACTGCACATAATATTAATGAAATAAAATGCTACTTAAGTGTACATAACAAGAGCACACTTTCATTACTGTTTCTTAACACACTTAAGTACGCTTCTAAAAAGTGCGCTTTGTAGTAATGCTAAATTAAAAGTTTTACTTTAAAATTGTGTTATGCTTTAAAGAAGCACACTTCTTTAGCTAATAGCATTTAAATGAAACTGAAACTATAATATTATAATATACTAATTGAGTGTCCAAAAACATCACATTCAGTTCACACCTATAAAATAATATGTTTTTAAGAACATGTGCTTTATTTAAACGGAAATGCAAACAGCAAATATATGTCTAGAAAATGGCATACTACAAACTTATTCTAATGAAAAGGTCCATGGCTGCACTAATCCAACATATTGCTGTACATTTTAATTTAATTTACTTCTAGGGGATTTGTTGGTTTCTATTGGAAATATTCTGGGAATTGGATTGATTTCAGTGGGAATGGTTTGTTTTGTATACAGCTTGGCAAGAGTGCAAATTAATTTTCTAGTGATTGTCTTTGGCTCCAAATATGTCCTTTTCAATGGATGTTCTCCTGAAATGCCTCCATGCATATCTCAGAAGGGAATTCATTAATTAAGCACTACGGCTGACATAACAGCCCAGCTGTCTCTTCTTTCTTTTACCTTAAGGAGCAGGGCTTTACTGATGGGCAGTGATGTCTTCATTAGGCTCACCATCTGGATTATAATTTGGTTTTAAGTTTCTTGGATACAGCAAATTTTCAGCAGTAGCAGCTTTGTCACTGGCAGTAAATCCTGAACTGTCAATCCTGAGCAGAGTTCAGCTCCAGAGATGGGCTCTCTTCATCCTTCAAGATGTGCAGTCTGTTGTTTTTACTACTTAAAACAAAAAAAAAGATATATATATTTTTTCCCCCCAGACTTCACTTGTCAGGTTGTATTTTGTCATCTTTCCCCCATAGCTCAGACGCGTTTTTGGATGTGTTTATTCGCTGCTCAGTGCATATGCTTTATAGGAATAATGTCATAATATAATATAATAATAATAATAATAAAATAAATTAAAATAAAATATAAAATAACAAATTAAAAATAATAAATACATATATATATACAGTGGGGCAAATAAGTATTTGATACACTGCCGATTTTTCAAGTTTTCCCACTTACAAAGAATAGAGAGATCTGTAATTTTCATCGTAGGTACACCTCAACTGTGAGAGACAGAATCAAAAAAAAAATCCAGAAAATCACATTGTATGATTTTTAAATAATTAATTTCCATTTTATTGCATGAA